TTGCTCCTGGGAGACACAGACCGGAGCACATGGCTGCAGCGAAGAGGGTATTGCGCTACCTGTGCAGCACGTCGAGCATGGGGCTAGTGCTTGGAGGGCGGAGTCCAGTGGTCCTTACCGGCCACGCGGACGCTTCTTGGGCTGACGACCAGGCTACGCAGCGGTCGTCACAGGGTTACACCTTCAGCCTTGGTTCCGGCTCTGTCTCGTGGCGGTCTACTCGCTCGTCTTCGGTTCTCGGCTCCAGTTGTGAGGCTGAGATCTACGCCGGGGCCATGGCTGCACAGGAGCTTCGCTGGCTCACCTACCTGCTGACTGACCTTGGAGAGCCGCCTCGTTCTCCTCCAGTGCTGTACGTAGACAACAAGGCCATGCTGGCCTTGTGTCGAGAGCAGCGCTTGGAGCACAGAACGAAGCACATTGCTCTCCGCTACTTCCTTGCTCGTGAGCTGCAGCAGCGTGGTCAGTTGCGACTTGCGTACGTGGCCTCTGAGGCCAACACTGCTGATGTGTTCACCAAGGCACTCGCGCCTTGTGACCATCAGCGCTTTTGCACCCAGCTGGGTCTTGTGCCTGTCTTGCCTCACTTGCTCTCCTCTTGACTTCACTTGTACTGTGACATATATATATACCTGCTCTTGCTTGTCTAGTTTTATATATATGTCTGTACTCCTGCATGTGAACTGGCCTCTGGCCCTGCTCTTGTGCTCGGACTGTGTGGTGACGTTGTGATCCACCCTGAGCTTGCTTTGCTTTGCCTTGCTTGACTGGTCTTGTGACCCCTTGTTCTCCCCCACTTTGCCTATGGGGGTGTGTCGGATTATTATAACTAATGCATGTTTGTAGGCTATAGTGGGGTAGCACATATGGGGTACAGCTTTCTAGGGTTGTATTTGTACCCAACTCTGACTTAGTCATTTTCATTCCTGTTTTCCTTGCTTCACAGAGACAACATCGACAGCAGCAGAGACAACATCGACAGCAGCAGAGACAACATCGACAGCAGCAGAGACAACATCGACAGCAGCAGAGACAACATTGGCAGCAGCAGAGACAACATCGGCAGCAGCAGAACCATCATCGGAAGCAGCAGGACCAACGACACCAGTCATCGAAACACCACCAACACCCGCACAACAGTTGAACCCGACTCAACGAGAAGTCCACCGAAGCGCAAACATCGTCGCCAACTTCTACTCCAACTCTGACGCGTATCAACGCTCACCCGGACATCGCGCTCCTGAAGACATCTGGCACGCACGCACAGGTCATCCAAGCAATACGGTGTTAAACAACACGATACGAGCAGGAGCTCTAGACAAGGATTCGCTACTACTACTCGACGGCAGAGAACTTCAACGTGCACGAGGGACTTGCCTCATCTGCCCCGAAGCCGACTTACCCCATCGACCGTTTTCCTCTCACCACAACCCGAGCGCACCTGCATACGCACCACTCGAGAAAGTTTACAGCGACATCCTCTACAATCGAGAACCAGGACAAGTCACCTACAATTACACGATCACCTTCATCGACGCCGCCACTCGATACGTCTGGCATCGCAACCTACCCAGCCGCGACATGGCACTTGCAGCATTCGCCGCTTGGCTACCGGTAGCAGAGAGGGAATCAGGAACACAACTGAAAAGCTTCCAGTCAGACGGAGGAGGAGAGTACACCTCTGAGCGCTTCAAGCAGTACCTGGCGGAAAGAGGGATCAAGCAACTCCTCTCCCTTCCCTACGCACATCAGCAGCAAGGTGTAGCAGAAAGAATGAACAGGACTCTGCAGAACAGCATGCGCAAACTGCTACGTGGCATGCGGCTACCCAACCACCAGTGGCCTGCAGCAATGGACCATGCTGTCATGCTGCACAACTTGTTGTCGTCGTCGTCACTCCCGAACAACGCCTCACCGCATCTGCTGTGGACAGGGAAGCTGGGCAGCACAAGAATGTTACGAGTTTTCGGATGCATGGTACAGTACAGACCCCCAGAAGCACGAGCGGGAAGATTTTCACAACGGGCACAGTGGGGACTACGCCTCGGCATCGAGAAACATTACAACGCGTGGAAAATCTTCGACGTCCACACAAAGGAAACAGTAGCAGCACGTGATGTGATCTTCTACGAGCGACTCACCCTTCAGACGTACCTCGCCAACTTGCACGAGAATCGGGACCTCACAGGTGGCTTTCGTGGTGACCGAGCCTTCGCCTCAGCAGCGGACGAAGCAGACTGGGATGAACAGAACGTCGACAACGCATAAGAAGAAGCCGGACCTCTCCCGTACTGCTCCGTCGACGTGCCCATGGATGAAGAAAATCCTCGCGACAGTAACAACGCCGAAGTCTTCTATCACTTCGCCGACAACGGTTACGTAACACCTGCGACAGTCAACACAAATGAAGCAGAAAGGATAGGGCCAAATTTCATACCCGATCCAGAAGCAGGAGACGAAGCAGCTTATCCCGAGGATACAACACTCCCCCGATACTCACAGACTGGGCTGCAAATCCTTGGTCTCGTCACCGCAGTCCACGGGAACACAGGGAGCACGCTTCCTAAAGAGCCTGCGACGGTTCAGCAGGCTCTGGGGGGGGAACACAGGGAGAAATGGCGTGAAGCCATGGACAGGGAATTAAAAGCATTAGAGGAACGCAACACCTGGAAGGTCGTTCCCGCAAGCGTGGCACAGAACAAGACCATTCTCACCGGGAAATGGGTCTTCCGCATCAAGACGAAAGCTGACGGCAGGAGTGTGTGGATTCGACCAGGTACAAGGACGAGACTTCACCGAAAAATTCGCCCCAGTCAGTCGACATACCTCTCTCCGAATCCTTCTCGCCGTCGCCGCCATGAAGAAGAATAAGCTGCGACAAATCGATGTTGCCAACGCATTCCTCTACGCACCCATCGACGCCGAAATCTTCGTCGAACTCCCATACAGCACTCACGGAAATCCTAATCAGATCTGCCAACTACTGAAATCGCTCTACGGAATCAAACAAGCCCCGCGACTGTGGCAACAGCACCTACACACCCGCCTCACTCGCATCGGATTCCGCCAACTGCCTCACGACCAAGGAATGTACCGCCTCACCAAAGGCGCAGACTACATCCTACTGATCGTCTATGTCGACGACTTGCTCTACATCGGCTCCACCGACGACGTCACCACCTGGTTCGAAGGGGAGCTGCAGAAAGACCTCACGCTCACGGTCTCTTCTACTGTGACCCAGTACCTCGGGCTCAACATCCGCGAAGAAGAAAATGCGATCTACCTAAGCGCCGAGAAATACGCCGACACCATCGCCAAACGTTTTTCACTCACACCTACCGCCATCGCCACACCATACCGCTACACGGCAGGAAACGACAAGGGAAATTCCGCTCCACTCAAAGCTGCCGGAATACGAGACTACCAAAGGAAACTGGGCTGCCTTCTCTTCGCAGCTGTCACCTGTCGCCCGGATCTATCCTACTCCGCAAGCCAACTCGCCACCTATCTCAAGAAATCCGAAGCAAAGCATCTGGCGGAGCTCGATCGCGCACTACACTACTTCGTGAGCACACCGACGATCGGCCTGACTTACTACAAAGGCGAAGCTACGACGACGAAACTAATCGGCTACGTCGATGCTGACCATGCCGGCGATTCTGATAACAGGCGCTCTCGCACTGGCTACGTCTATCGTCTCGAGCCTATCGGACCTATCTCCTGGCAGTCGAGTAAGCAGGAACTAATCGCTCTCTCTTCAGCTGAAGCAGAATATATCGCCCTCTGTTCAGCCACCAAGGAAGGACTCTACCTTCGCGAGCTGCTGGAAGAAGCAAAGTTAGCCGAGTTACCCAACTTCACCCTATTCTGCGACAACCAATCTGCAATTCGCATCGCCAACAAAAGCGGATTCGCGAACAGAACGAAGCATATCACTCTGCGATACTTCTTCGTGAAGGACGAGATCGAGAAAGGGAAACTCGAATTATCCTACTGTCCCACGTCCGAGATGGCAGCCGATTATTTGACCAAGAAACTCGGAAAACAGAAGTTCGAGTACTGCATGATGCTGACCGGACAAGGCCACGTCACCATCAGCGACACTCCAGAAGCGAAGGGGAGTGTTGGGAATAATAAGTCTTAAGCGCCTCTGTCGTGTCGAAACTCAGGACACTAGCGAAGCAGTCCGAATCGAAGCATCGCGAGTCAACCCTCGGAGGTTAGGGTAACCGCCTGGAGGTTACGAGAAGGTCAAAGGTCAGCCACCTTTGACTTGACAAATACAGCGCGACAGCAAGGACACACAACTGACTCGACATTGAGCAGTTGCCCGAGTCGCACTGTATCGAATCGCAACAGTAAAACGGTTTTAACTTATCTATTCGTATTCCTTGTACTCTTATATAAACATCTGTATTTGCTTGTTTAATCAACTTACTTTGCCCTCACATACTAGCGCAAGGTGGTTGAAGTACTTTCATTCAAACGCTTCCGCTACTACAATTCTACTCAGACTTAAACTCTACAAAGATCCTAGGGCACTTCAGCCCAACACTTCCCACCTTCCCTCTCTTCACGAGCTATGCATTGCAGCAAGGAGCAACCCAGTACGATTTGATTTCAGTTGAGGCTGCTGTGTGTCCTCATTGTGACATCCAATGGCATCTTACACCATGTTGAAACTGTACTCAAGTCGCTGTTCATGCTGCTGTTATGGTAGCCTCTGTTAGTTTTCTTTGTAACCCGTTTCACCGTAGACCGGCATACAAATCAGGCGACAACATGTAAACGTTTAGACCCACATATATTTTCTTTGAGATGTAATACACATGACATAAGCTTGCATTATCAGTATAAAAGACCAAGCTCGAACCATTGCTATAGTCTTGTGTGTTTCCATCTTCCTGTCCCTTGTGCAATGTGGCTCGTCTGGGCCTTTGACATGCTGAAAACAGGAGCAAGCGAAGGCAGCACGTCCATGCAGGTCGTCTGGGCCTCTGTCATGCTCGCCTGGGATGGGAGAGGAGAGGATGGGGAGAGGAGAGGATGGGAGAGGAGAGGATGGGAGAGGAGAGGATGGGGAGAGGAGAGGATGGAAGAGGAGAGGATGGGGAGAGGAGAGGATGGGGAGAGGAGAGGATGGGAGAGGAGAGGATGGGGAGAGGAGACGATGGGGTGAGGAGAGGATGGGGAGAGGAGAGGATGGGAGAGGAGAGGATGGGGAGAGGAGAGGATGGGGAGAGGAGAGGATGGGGAGAGGAGAGGATGGGGAGAGGAGAGGATGGGTGTGCGTCAAGCAGAGCACAGCACAGCACCGCAGAGCCCCAGAGCAGCGCAGAGCACCGCATCTCGCGTAGCTGTGCACAGCAGAGCAGAGCACCACACTGCACAGCACTGCAGAGCAGAACAGAGCTCACAACCGCACAGCAGAGCATGTTGTGTTGTGGGTCACCTGTAGCACGAGCACAGCAGCAGCTGTAGCACGTGCTTCCGGTTGTCCCTGCAGAAGATGGTGAAGGGGCGGGAAGGGGGTAAACAGGGGAGAGGGGGCTGGGGGAAAATAGGATCGAGGCTATAGAGGGAAATAAGGGAGAGGGCGATCGGGAAGGGAAACAGGGGGATCTTGTTGAGACGGAATGGAGTGAGGCGGAAAGGGGTGGGGAGGAGATGGGGTGGGGCAGACTGGGTTGGGGCGGAATGGGGTGGGGCGGAATGGGGTGGGGCGGAATGGGGTGGGGCGGAAAGGGGTGGGGCGGAAAGGGGTTGGGGCGGAAAGGGGTGGGGCAGAAATGGTGCCTCCCACGGTGTCGCGGCGCCCCCGACTCAGCACGACGACTCGCCCCCACTCCTCCACCTCGCGTCCACCCCATCCCTGAGGGCAGGGGATGGGATGGGGTTGACGGGGGAGAGGCGGGGATGGTGACGCGGGGAGGGGCACACAGGGCGGGTTTCCGCATCATTTACAGCAACAGCAGCAAGGATGGGGAGGTGAGGGATGGGGAGGAGAAGCATGGGGAGGTGAGGGACGGGGAGATGCGGCATGGGGATGTGAGGGATGGGGAGGTGAGGGATGCGGAGGTGAGGGATGGCTCTGCACCTGGAAATAAACCGTTGCCCTGTCGTACGCTGCATGCGCTGACTCTAACTCCAGCCTGAAGGGAGAAAGGGTGGAGATGAGAAGGGAGAAAGGGTGGAGATGAGAAGGGAGAAAGGGTGGAGATGAGAAGGGAGAAAGGGTGGAGATGAGAAGGGAGAAAGGGTGGAGATGAGAAGGGAGAAAGGGTGGAGATGAGAAGGGAGAAAGGGTGGAGATGAGAAGGGAGAAAGGGTGGAGATGAGAAGGGAGAAAGGGTGGAGATGAGAAGGGAGAAAGGGTGGAGATGAGAAGGGAGAAAGGGTGGAGATGAGAAGGGAGAAAGGGGACGGGAGAGAGTGAGCGAAGGCGACGGGAGGGGGGTGAGCGTGGGCGACAAAAGGGAGTGAGAGCGTGCGACGTACGGGCAGTGAGCGTGGGCGACGGATGGGGAGAGAGCGTGCGCGACGGGGAGGAGTGAGCGTGGGACGAAGGGAATTGGCCGTGTGCGACGAGCGGGGGTGAGCGTGTGCGACCGAAGGATTGCGCGAAGGCGATGGGAAGGGTGTGAGCGTGGGCGACGGGAAGGGAGTGAGCGCGGGCGACGGGAGTGAGCGCAGGCGACGGAAGTGAGTGAGAGTGGGCGACGGAACGATTGCGCGAAGGCGATGGGAAGCGAGTGAGCGTGGGCGACGGGAAGGTCTTGGGCGGGGGCGGCGGAAGGGAGTGCGCGCGGCGGGCACGGAGTGCGCGTGGGCGACGGAAGGAATTTGTAATCCGCAACCCTGGGAAGCGAGCGTGCGCGACAATGGGGATTGCGCAAAGGAGACGGGAGGGGAGGGAGCGTGCTCGTTGGAGCGAGGATGCGTGAGCGATGGAGGGGAGTGCGTGTGTGGGACGGAAGGGGATCGGGGAGAAGAAGCGAATGGGACGAAGTAATAGAATAAAATCTTTGAAACGCGGACAGAGAGGACGCTGCGGCTATGAACAGGGGCGACATCGATGCGGTGGGCGATGGTGAGGTGCAACCAGGGCGACGAGCCTATGTGCATCCATGGGCACGGCTAGCTATGTCGATCGAGTAAAAACGTGCCCTAGAATAGCGAAAAGTTTATCCCTGGCATTTACGGAATGGAGTAATAGTCCTAAAGAGTAAGGCGGAAATAAGAGACCTGGGGCTGGAATGGGGCTGGAGCCTAGCTGTTCTAAGCTATGGCTACGGCTCTAGCTGATCAGACTAAGCAGTTTCTGTCGACCTGAATTACATATTTCGAGTTTGGTGTGCACACCTCGGCCAGAGTGGTTGCGCAGGAACCGACTGCGACTTAATCACGTTTTGCAGGTGAACAACTGGTAACCACCCTGGTTCGGGAGGGAAGGTGTTAACACCTCCCAACTTTTTTTGTAATTCAGGCTGCGGGTTTTAATGAATTTTGTCTCTGGGCAGCCCATTCTGTGCTTAGGACGTGGGCCCAATCGAATTTGATCGGCTCTGATCGGATCGGGTTGGGTCGGATCGGATTGCTTGTGATAGTTCTTCTCGCGCCGCCCGATCAGAGATGATTTTCCTCGATTTTTTCGCGCTTTTGCATGAAAACTGTCGGCCCATTACCTGGTAGTTGTATCGCAACTTTGGCGAGACGGACGAATCTCAGTATCGTGGTAACGTCACCAACATCGCCCGCACCGCACAAGGTCCGCTCCAGAACCCTCGAACCACTCTGTGTGCACCACGCATACAGTTCTCGCCGATCTGGGTGTTTTCGCAAGGATTTTTGAGACCTCATGGCGAGGCGTGTTACATATCGCGTACATCGCCCAGGTCGTCGATCACATGCAATCAAGTGATTGGGGCTGATTGTGTCTGATCGGGTCTGATCGGACTGTTTGAGGCGGTTGATTGAGTTGGCGCGATCAGCTGATCGCGATCAGCTGATTGCCCCTGATTGCCTGAAATCTGCTTCCCGCCTTCCTCAAAGTTTTTTATCGCCTCTGATCGGCTCTGATCTGATCGGATCGGATTGGCTGTGATCACTTTGCTGGAGCCGCCCGATCAACAATGTTTTTCTTCGAAGTTGTGGAGATGTTGCTTGGCAAACATAGGAACATCACGTGGAGGTTCTTATCCAACTCACGCGAGATTGGCGACTGAACGTCACCTGGCGAACCCATTTGTTTCCCTGGAATATCGTCAACTCCTGGAGAATTGATTGCTTGTGATCGGGGCACCCAACGATGCTTGCGAGTAGTTACACTGTTGCACTTACAGTGAAACGAATATTTTCGCCAGGTGAAGCCTGGTCGTCAATCTCGCTAAAATGGTGACCAAAATGCCACGCAAATGTATCGCGCTTGCTGAACAGGCGCTGACAGCCTTTTCCGAAAATCATCTCTGATCGGGCGGCTCGGGCACTACGATCACAAGCAACCCGATCAGATCCAAACCGATCAGATCAGTCGCGATCAAACTCGATTGGGCCCACGCCCTTACCAAACGATGGGCAATTTGGAATTCGTTCGATCAGAACAAATGTTGCCGTGGAGATAACGTGATCCATGCGATGAAGAACCAGCAAGCAACTCCACCTAGGGTGGGATCTCCTCTGGCCTGGCTGGCCTGCGTAATGTACTTCTCTTTTGACAGCACACACGAAGGTGCAGATGAGGTTAGCCTTCGCGATTAACCAATCACCGCACTACCGTGTTTACAGTGCAACTATTTGATTGGTGGTTGATGCCAAGCAAGGTTCGGGCACAAAGGGTGGGCCTGGGCCAATGTCGTGTTTGACTTGGGCGGAAGGAAAGAGAATCTCTTACTTCTGGTCCGTGAAAATATCCGCTTTATGAAAATACTCACAAACAGCCATCGGGAGCATTCTTACTCAGATGTAGATACACCTTCGCGCGGTAGCATCCTGTAGGCGTTGGTGCCAACAGTCCAGGAATACCATTATCAGTTATTTTATAGAATATGCCCTACTTACGGTACATTGCTTTAATATTGTTCAGTTAATTCATATCGTAAACCGAAATACTCAATATTGCATCACATAAGGAAGACGAAACGGCACATTCGACCCTTCAATCTCTCGTCGAGGTGGCTCGGATCAGGCCCCGCAACAGGTGCAACGGGAACGTCAGCGCTGATGCAATGCTGCTGCTGGAAGCCCAAGCGAACTGGCTGGAAGAGCCTGTCCGTTCTGAAACTCACGGCTTCCTCCCAGCAAACCTCGTTCTACATGCCTGTGATAAATTTTCTGGAATATTTGTTTTGCTCCTTTTTTGGGGGTCATCCGGAAGCCTCTTCGGTTCCCTACTACAACTGTCGTTCCGTTACGGTTAGGAAGGAACATGTCACACCCTGCTTCTGTATGACCTGTCACCCTCTCCCGTTCCATAGTGGCCTGTGCCACCAGCGCGACGGATACGATTACCCAGCTGTTATTTATTCGACACGCACAGAACGAGCTTTTCGTATTCAGTAACACTGATTCCTGACGTCCTATCATCCCCGGTCTCAGACTGCTCGTTGTTCTCTTGTAAAGGCGCTTCACCGCCAGTTTCCTCCTCTTCCGGCGGACAAGATACAAGCCTTCTCGTCATCATGGCGCAATTCCTGGCGCACAGGACGCACCGCTGTCTCTCCGTGCTCTCGTTGCTGCTCCTTGCAGCAATCCTCGCGTCAGGTACTGACCTGGATCCTCGCGATTCCACGGATATCGTTTTCACGTGAAGTACGGGAGTTTGGTGCACCTCTTCGTTTCTGCTAACGAGAAGAACCGATTTCCGTGTAATGATCGAGTAAATCGTGTAATTACGGTTCACTCATGGCCTCCCCATTCTGCCAGGTCCATTACATTGCTTTCCATTCTCAAGGAGTTCAGTGCTATCTAACTGCCTGCGAATCCTCTCAACCGCCTTCTGTTCTCCGGCTTTCCATTCTTGCCGTCTCCATGCACCCTTGTATTATTCTCCTCACCCTGTGGTTCTTGCGGCCCCATCTACCAGACACGGCAGCAGCATCGCAGCCTCCAGAGGTGACTGGGAAGCAGGAGAAGGACGTGACTCAGCTACAGATAGGCGTGAAGGTAAGTGCAAAGTCAGTCAGAATCAGCGCATGCCAGAGCAAATGAGTGATTCTGAGAACGGTTTCCCAGTCGCCAATGTGCATACTGTGTTGAACCTCGACACAAAGAAATCTTTCGTGCCTCTACGAAATCCAGTCAGACACTTGCACCCTTGTGCGTTCCCATCATTCCCTGATTAAGTATTCTCCCTTCCTTCCCTCTTGCATCCCCTTGTGCCATCCCCCTCATGCTCCCTTCTTGCTACCCCTCCCCATCCTCTCTCCCCCCCCTCCTCCCCCCCATGCCTTCCGACCTGGTTGCGTGTGTGATCAGTTCAAGCCCAAGAAGTGTGGTGCAACAGCTCACCTCAATGACCGAGTGAAGGTTCACTACAGGGTGCGTGCATGTGTGCGTGCGGCCATACATGCGTGCGTTCGTGAATGGTGTGCGTGCATGCATGCATGAATGGTGTGCATGCATGGGTGCATGAATTGCGTGCGTGCCCGTGCGTCTCTGCTCTATCTGCGCTCCCTGTTCGTAGATGTTGCAAACAAATGCACCTATTTGTCCTGCCTTCTATTGTCGCATCCTTGGACGACTCGCCACCCCTTACCTGTTCCCCCCTCTGCTCCTGCTGTCCCTTGTTACTCTGTTCGCCATCACTCTCCGAACTATCACAGGGATTCTTGACAGACGGCCGGCAGTTTGACAACACATACGACCTGGACGTTCCAGTGCAGTTCCGAATCGGTGCAGGCAGCGTGATTAAAGGTGCCACTGCGCTACAACAACTCCCATGACACTAGCCCACTTTTTCTCCAAGCCTCCCCACGCCCTCCGTCCTCCACTCCCCTCCCTCTCTTCATCTATACCTTCCCGCATGTACCCGTTACCTTCGGTCCTATCGCCTACTCACACCCCTCTTTTCCACCGACTCCTGCTCGCATGGCTCTTGTTGCTGGTGCTTTTTTTTTCAAGGAATTAATGAAAGGTTCACCATGGCCTGCCCACGTAGCTCCTCCGAGGTTCTGTGTATCCGCCCCGTTCCATCTCCCTCTTCCCCTGACTTAATCGCCGCTTCTTGTCTCCTCACTGTCACCTTGGCAACATTCCGTTCGCGCCTCCTCTATTCTTGCCTCCCCTATTCCCCCCCCATCCCCCTCTCTCCGTCCACCCCCTTGCCTCTCTCTCCGCCCGTTTCTCCCGGCAGGCTTGGAGAGCGGCGTGTTGGGCATGTGTCTTGGGAAAAAGCGCAAGCTTAAATCCGCTCACGCGCGCCTTCCCCCTCCTCGATCCACCTCCTCTCGGGTTCCTCCCTTTCGCCTCCCCAATCCTCTTTTTACCCGCGCAGGATGGGAGAGCGGCGTGTTGGGCATGTGTCTGGGGGAGAAGCGCAAGCTCAAGATTCCGTCGCAGCTTGGATACGGCGACGAGGGCCACGTGTACGGCATTCCGCGTGAGTTGCCTCACCGATCCCGCACCTGCGTCGCTGTACAAACATTTGGGAATATGGTTTGATTTATGCTTTTATACGAAAAAGGGCTGCAGAACCCAGTGCATATTAGCGTGGCGATGCTGTGGTGTTTTTTCTCAGAATATACTCACGTGACGGATTGTCGTACTTGCGACGATCTGAGCGATCATCTACGCGGCGTTTGAATGATGTTAGCAGTCAATCGTCGCCTGACCCATTCTCCCTACATCCCCTGCCGACCCGTCTATGTCCATGCATCCGTGACAAACCCGTCATACCGCGTGCGTTCATACGTCACCGCCCGCGAATCGCTGAATAACGGCTACTACAGCGGGCGCGACGATCATCTTCGACGTGCAGCTCGTGGGGCTGGAGAAAGCGCGGAAGAAGCGGTCCCGCGCGACGGCTTAAACTTCCGCTCCGCGTGCTCGCGAAGCTCGCTCACTGGATTCTGGATTC